CCGAATTTATAATTTCCCGAATGTAAATATAAAATTTTTTTTTGGTAGTAGACTAATAAAAGTAATAATAGTAAAAATGTAAAATTTATAAGAGAGTAGGAATTTTTTTTTTTTTTCACAAAAGAGAGCAAGATTGTAGGATTTTTAGGAATTTGAGAATTGAGAATTTGGGAGTAAGAAAATTAGAGAATAAGAGAGAAGAGATGAGTTGATGAATTGTGAAAATTTTGGAGGAAAATATGAGGTATTTATAGGGAATTTGGGTGGGAAATGGGGTGGAAAACTAGTCGTTTATAGCTGTTGGAAAACGGCCAATAAACGGCTAGTTTTCCAACGGTAATTTGGCACGGGCCGTGACGTGCCGGTCCGTGCCTTACGGGCTCGTGCCGTGCCGGCGGGTCGTGCCAGCGTGTCGGCCCACGTGCCGGCCACCGTGCCGCCCGGCGTGCCACGTGTCGTGCCCGTGCCAAATTCCAGAAATTTGTTCACGGCACGGCCCACGGCCCACAGGTGGGCCGCCGTGCCGTGCCGTGCCAGAGTCGTGCCAGGCCCGTGCCGCCCGCGTGCCGGCACGGCCCGTGCCCATGTTTACGCATAATATTGGTTTTAGCGTTAGGTCTTCGACGGAGGTGAAAGATAAGAAGACTGGTTTTGTTATATTGAAATACTTTTTGTGTTCTAAAGAAGGTTATAATCAACCTACAAATCAATCTATGAATGGGGGTAAATCTAAAAGGTTGAAAGAAACAAGAGAAGGGTGTGGTGCCAAAATCAAAATCAAGCGAACGGAAGAGGGTAAATATGAGATTAAGGAGTTTGTTGAGCACCATACCCATGCACTTGCAACTCCTACAAAGAGACACCTTTTGAGATCAGCAAGAAAGGTTAATTCTATGCATAAGGCTGTTTTATTCACATGTAGTCGAGCCAATATAGGACCTGCCAAAGCATATCAGTTGATTAAACATCAAGTTGGAGGATATGATAAAGTTGGATGTACGCAAAAAGACCTTCAAAATTATCAAACAGGACTTAAAATTATGATCAGTGATTATGATGCACAGATGTTTAAAGAGAATTTTGAAAGAAAAAAAGAACTTGATCCTTCTTATTATTTTGCATATGAGGTAGATGATGAACATCGGTTAAAGTATTTTTTTCTGGGCTGATGGCATTGGGAGAAAAAATTATGCCACTTTCGGTGGTATTGTCTCTTTTGATACGACATATGGAACAAATAAATACTCAATGATATTTGCTCCATTTACCGGAAGAAATCATCATCGACAATGCATTACATTTGGTGCTGCATTTTTGTGTGATGAGAAAACTGAATCCTTTACTTGGTTGTTTGAGAAGTTCTAAGAAGCAATGGGTGGTCATAAACCTAGATGCATAATCACCGATCAAGATCCAGCAATGAAAGCTGCAATAAAAAATATATTTGATACCTCTTCGCATCGATTTTGCATGTGGCATATTTTAAAAAAAAGTTTCTGAGAAGGTAGGTGGAAGTCTTAATAGTAACGAGGATTTTCAAGATAAATTTAAATCATGTGTGTGGCAATCAGAGACTCCATAGGAATTTGAGCATAGTTGGACACAAGTTGTTAATGAGTTTGAGCTCACAAAAACGAGTGGTTCTCTTCTATGTACGAGATACGACACTCATGGATACCTGCATACTTCAAAGACTTGTTCTTGGTTGGTTTATTTAGAACAACTTCTATTTCTGAAAGTGAAAATTCAGTATTTGGTAGTCTTACAGATAAGTGGCTCAATTTGGTTGAATTTTGGGTTCGATATGAAAGTATTATCGACAGGCAGAGGCATAACCAAAAAAAAATCTGATCATGACACATCACATTCACTTCCTATATTGAAGACAAATCATAGTATAGAAAAGCATGCAAGAGATATTTATACTCATGCAAATTTTTATGTCTTTCAAAAGGAATTTTGGTGTTCTTGTATGTATTGTGGAGTTAAGGAGACCAAAGAGGAAAATGGAAGTATAATATTTGAAGTTCATGACAGTAATCCTTGGAAACCAAAACAAAGAATTGTATCTTATAATACTTTGGACAATGTGGCTCATTGCTCATGTAAGTTATTTGAACAAGATGGCATTTCATGTCGTCATATTCTTTGTGTTTTCAAGGGCAGAGGAATTGATGCAATACCATCATATTATATTGTTCACAGATGGACTAAAAGTGCAACTTGCTCACTTATATTTGATATGGATACTGTTGTAGATGAAGGTTGTTCTCAAATTCAACTTGCTAATATAGAAATATCTGAGTTATGGAAAGATTTTCATGGTTGTGCAGAATTGGTCGGTTATGATATTGATAAAATTCGTGTTTTAAGGAATGGGATCATAGATTTAAAAAAATCTTTGCTCGAGAGTACCAATGTTTGTGTAGATAACAAGACAAATGATTTGGAAGCATATGTGGAGTCTACCATTCCAGTGAAAATTGATATTCATCCACCAAAGCATTCAATAACTAAAGGAAGTTGCAAGAGAATTCCAAGTGGGAAAGAGAAGGCTATTGAAGATAAGCAAAAGCGACAGAGACTCTGTAAATCATGTGGAAAATATCCACAACATGATAGTCGCAATTGCCCTATGAAAGAGGCTTGATTCTCTTCTTTGGTTAGTTATTCCTTATTAACAATATAATTTCTTATTTATGATGTTAGCATCATTTTTTTATTTTTTTTTATGTTAAACTATTTTATAACCTTTTGCCCTTACAGGTTGGTGCTTGTGATGCTTATCAAGATATAGGCACTTCAGACGGTGTTGGGTTTAATTTGGCTATTGAATGTTTGCAGAGTTATTCCATTTTTTGTCTCACATGGACATGTAATTGATTTTGTGATTGGGATTGAATGACAAATATATATTTATCTTGAATAATTATTATTTGGTTCAACTCCATTTTTACATGCTCCATTGCTATATTGATTTCAGTATACGATTAATGCAATAATGCCAAAACTATAACTCAGGAAACAACAAATTACGACTAACTGATAACCCATGAGGGAATCGAACCCACAACCTTGTGCAAATGCACAATGCTCTACCGTTTGAGCTAATAGGTTTCACAAAATCATTTTTTGTTATCTAATAATATCCGAAAATTCAACTTATGAATGCAAAAAAAAATGATACAACCAAGAGTACCTCTGCCTATTACGTAGTATATATTTTAGATCTCAAAAAAAGGAGCTAATATGTTTCTTATTCCACTAATCAGTAAGCACAACAACCAATATATCAAGGCACTAGGCCACTAACCATTTCCAAGAGTATCATAGGTTTCGTAACAAATGAATCAAAAAACACAAATTTTGGGTAAAAAAGAACAATTTTTAAAAACCATAATTAACAAATATTGTAGAATTTGTAAAATAAAAATCAAAAACTTTATTTAGTTGCAGATCCCTGAAACTAAAATTATGATTGATCAAAAGCAATAAGAAACGTTTAATTGGAAACCCCAATAACTTTAATTGGGAACCCCAATAACTTTAATTGGGAACCCCTAAAAGTAAAATTGTGAAAAAAAAGGGAAAAAAAATCAAATTTATCTTGAATTGGTCTTCAGTCGGCGGGAGTTGTTGCTTGCATAAATTAAGAGCCAATGTAAATGAAAAAAAAAGATAAGTTTAAAGGAAACAAAAATAAGGGAAAGAGAAAAGAGAGGAGAGAGAAAGAAAGGAAACCAGCCATATATATGAAATAGAAACGTGGGAGAGGGATGAAAGAGAAGGGTAAATTTTTAATGTTCTAATCTGAGCCGTTGGTGGTTACTAAAACCTAAGGGTGGAGATTTCTTTTCTCATTTCTTATTTCTCATTCTAGCAAATCCAATATATATATATATATATAGGCACCATACTATAATTGTATTATTGCATCACTTTTATATTCATTAAGTTCACTTAGTCAAAACTTAAAGTAAAACATGATTATGGAAAACAATTGAGGACATAAATGTGTATAAGGTAACACTTGTCTAATTATACAATAGATGTCAATTTGGGCAATTTGATCAGGTCAAAATGAACTGAAAGGGGTTAATTATAAACATTTAAATTTGGCTTGTAGATTAAGTTGGGTTAGTTATGACTTATAAGAAATAAGCAAATCGGTCAAGTTGGTCATATTTTTCTCTAGGTTGTAAGGAAATCAAGTCTTATTCGAGTAGAGTCTTATTCAATTCGGGTTGAAATCAATCATGTTGTAAAGAGTTTAGTCAGGCTATATTGGATTAAAATAGAGTTTAGTCTTTTGGGTTTTCATTACATATCGCATCAAATCAATCAGGTACTATATACATATATTGGGGCAAGTCAATTGAACATTGGGTGCATATTGAGTCAAAATCTACCCGATTTTGGATCCATATTAAGTCGGACCAATTACACATCAAATATCTTAGGTGAGGTCATTTTGGGTACGGAATACATATCAGATTGAACCAACTAAGTATCAAATTAACTTAGGTAAGACCATTTAGGTATTGGATTAACTTAGGTTCGACCATTTTGCATATTGAGCTAAAAAATATGTCATGAGTTCAATTTCGTGTTCATTTTCTGTTACACTTATTCATAAAATGCACAAGAAACTATGTAGAACATGAGTTCGATCTCGTGTTCATTTTGTGTTACACTTATTCATAAAATGCATAAGAAACTATGTAGAATATAAGACAATCGCATAACATGATATATTGATCAAAACCGACCATATTCGAATCGATTTTGTTTTGTGTCAACTTTATGTTTTCTCTCAATAATTCTGTGTTTGTGTCAACATATAACAATGTCAATTCTGAGACTATCAAGTTTATGTACTACCTTCGATTTTTATTATTTGCAACTTTGAAATATTTTATATCTCACAAATAATACCCCAAATTTGCAAATAATAAAAATCCGAAGTAGTACTAGTCTTTTTAATCAAGTGGGAGTGAGAAAAAGACAAACAAATGTACTCCTCATTTATCAAGGAGACGTCATTTACTCATTCAGAACATGTATAGTGTATTCATGTACCCGTGTGATGTAACAAAATGGGGGAATATACAACAAAATAACAAAGATATCTTTATGCAGTATGTAGTTTCTCTTGAGTGAAATTTCCCCTATGAATGCATCGGGAGGAGCTTTACTTTGACACCTCACCACTCTTTCTTGCAGCGATCTTTTCCCAGTAAATCAACAAATTTATCTGTACAACAATGTCAAAATCCTCACCTCCTTTCCCCCGAACTCAAAAGATCTCGGGGATTGTATACCACAAATGACAGAGGCAGCTACTACATGATCTGCATAATCTGTTTATGAAACCCACAAACTTGTCTGAAGTTAGCCTTATCATCACCCCTCCGACCTGTATATAGTTCATACTATAATGCTCACCACTTTCACCAAGGTCAAAAAGGGGACGAACTGCCATACTATACTGAAATATACAAATTTGGCCACATCATTTTGAAGCTAGACTTTGTGAAGCTCTTCTGTCCCACCGGTATTATCTGAAGTAAATGGTTTCATAGAGCATACTAGGTAGATTGTGGAAAACCAGATGACCCTGGAGATCTTGATTCATTCATTCCAGTATGATTTGACAGATCAAGGCCTTCGCCCCATGATAATGTTCGCCTTGTATTTGAAGGTAAAGAACCATTGCTATTTATCATGCTTCCCGCTCCCTTGTCCATGCTTGAATTCCGGTGGATTGTTGACTGTGGTGAAAACATTTGAGGTGATGAAAATGAATCATGACTTTTAGATGTGGTAGCATTGTCATCCATAACAAAAGTTTGTTGTGTACTTTGGGTACTGTCAGTTTCTTGTACTCCAGGAACTGGAGTAGGGATAAAAAAGTTGGGATTACCAATAGCAGGTTTTATAGCTGGAACAAGAGGTGACGGTGCTTGGAATGAGTTTGCTGGAGTTCCTCCACCTTTGTTGAACGTATCCACATACCTAAAACAATCATAACATATAATCAGCTTCCAAACCGCCATAAGAAATCATTAAAGCTTGTCCAATAGCTCAAATAAACCATTGGAGAAGAAATAATCAAGTCCTAAAAAGAGCGGGAGGCGGGAAAATCTACAGCAGCAAAAAGTGAGAGAAATCTGATGCACAAGAAAAATAGAAATCTAGACAAGATGCAAGGGAATAAAAAATAAAGGAAGTTACAAGTGTCTCGGTATACTATTTGTACTTTCAACTTTCAAGTCATGAAAAAAACACCTCTAGGCCCGATGTATACAGTGCTTTTGGCAAAAGATTAAAAATATGTGATTGGAATTTAAGTAGGATTAAGCATGATGTATCTCACAAGGATAACCTGAGTAATGCCTTTTTAATACTGTTATCATGCCCAAGTAAACAACACACTTTTGCCAGGCATGGAGCTATACAAAAAAGGTCAAATATAATAGAAAAATTCTGGAAGTCGCTATAGAGAGGGATACAAGAGGAAGTGCTGGAGAAAGACAAAATAAGGAACAACGGGCTTGAGATAGAAGAAACAGAAGTTTGAAATTAGTTTTGATAATCTCAATGAAGAAACTTAAGTTTTACAGGGGCAGAGATAGTTGAGAGCCATAAATTTTCCTAATCAATTTTTAAAATCACTCAAGTCCCCATTCTAAGGTGGTAAGAGAATGGAAATAAATGTTAAAAGAAAAACGCATTTTATCGTGGAGATGCCCTATGAGATTCATATCAGACATTCTAGGTCAGATTATGAAAAAACTTCATAACATATTCCCTTGAATTTTTGCCCCATGCCAAACGAGATGTTAGAAGGGATATAACATGTGGATGTTTTAAGTCCAAAACCTTAAAAGCATTCCAGCCTTCCCATGTCCCTGCCACCCAACCTACTTGTGGTCTCTTCACAGAAAGATAGAAAATATATACCTTGATCGAACACTCATTCTCCCACGAGCTGAAAAATGATTCGAACCAGACGGAATGGGTGGTAACTCAGCACCCTTTCCATTGAAATTTGAGTATTTATATTCAGGTTCCCCATTTGCATGAACTGTCGCACTAACGGATTCGTCTTTTTTGCTGTGATCTAGCATTCCATTCATGTACGCAGTAGTTGTTGGAGGTGGAGCCAAGGTCATTTCCTCAGCTTGAGGTTCAGCACCTTCTTCAACCCAGCGCTTAAGTTTTTCATCATAATAGAACTTATTCGACTCCCCCAGCTTGGCCTGCAGAAAGAACAGGAGTAAAGACAAATCAGTATGTATTTAAATACACACAAACACAAAATAAAAAATAAAAAAAGAGGACCACAAAACTGTAAGCATCTCATAAATTAAAACTATATCAATCTACATAAAAGGTGGAAACCAAAAGGTCCATTCTGACTTGCCTGACGATCAGAACGAGATTTTAGCACCAAGCCAACGGTCTTCTGGAATATCTGTGAACCAAAACGACCAAAGCGAGAGGAACTGCCTGACACTGATGTATGATCACGTGGACTAGATGAGCTTGATTTTGGTGATTCATCCTGACAAAAGAGACAGAATTTAAACTTTGAGCAGATCATGATATCAATTTAAAAATTGGCACAGCAGTATATTTGTTGTGCTCTTATCTAAATCATGAGTATAGTAAATGGAACGAACGTAAAAGGATCATAATTTCTTCCTTTTGGGTCTAGTGCAGACATGCACCAAAATTTATAACAATACTATTAATGTCATGGAATATCATCCATATGTCACCAAATGTGATCTTTGACTCTATCAAAAGGAAATAGCAGACCGGTCGTCCCCATGACCCATCCCCAACAACATCATTGTTCTCAAAGTTCCACCATTGACTCGGAAATATTTTGACCCAAAATCCTAATTTCAAACATCACACTACCATATTATTCTACACTAACAAAACAACAAATTTGATTTTGACCTAGCAGTGAAAAACTTGAAGAGAAAAACTCAATTTAGTACAGTGATACTAAAAATCTACCTTTCCTGGTGCTCTACCAAAGTTAGGCTCTGACATGCTTCTATTATGCATTGACATTCGATTGCTGCCATCAGCTGATGTAGATGTCATTAATGAAGACATAGCCATTGTGGACTGACTACTAGAGACCCGTGGCCCCCTTGACTGATTATCATTCTCACTGTGTTGGCTATTATTTTGTGATGTTAAAGGTGTAGGTGGTGGTAAGCCTCCAACAACCCGATGAGCAGTATTATCGAAGAAGTTCAGCAATTTACCCACCAGTTTTGCTCGACCAAAATTGGTTGCATAACCACCCTGCAAATGGTGTAATTATTATATCAAAATATTGAGAGTGACAACTACTACATGTAGTAGTATACTAGGAAAGCATACCTGCTGATGGATTTTTATCCGCTCTTCAAGAGAAGATACCATATGTCGCCACGCATCAACCTCTGGTGATCTACCAGTTTTCACAGACTTCAAAACTGCTTGACAGTATCTAAATAAATGCAATAATGTTACAAACTTAAAATAGGGTTACTGACATGTGTAATCATACATTCATAAGAGTAATGTTGTTCTGGAACTTTGTACGAGTATTAATTACTAAGTAACCAGCTTCAGTGAAGTCTAAACCAGACGCAAAGATACTATATCATTTTTGTATGTTAGTAAATTACAAATCCAAATTGACAAGTTTCAGTCATTTAAGTATTTCAGGAGCACTTTCAAACATCATATGGTATTGCAAATGACAAATTACTCAGGCTAGCAGCATTGAAATACCCTATTTATAAGACCGATAAGGCAAATGGGCACCTGAAGTGAAAAAAAAAAAAGAAGGAAGAAATTTAAACAGTACTTACTTCAAAGAATCTGACATTTTTCCAACTTCTGCCAACATACAAGCATATAAAAGCTTATATGGCTGAAATGGAAGCAGTACACATTGAGAGTTTCCAAGCACCTTAGCATATTCATATAACTCTGTTCTCTGTGATTTTGACAAGATAAAAGCCATTTTAGTTAACTTCTCAAAGAAGAAAACCCCAGAGGGGGGAAAAAAAAAAAAGAAACACCAAATGTAAAAACTCTTCCATCCGAAAACTGCCATGATAATATGATTTTCCTTAAGATTCTTCATGAAAGTTGCTTCATTCTTACAATCTTTCCATACTCATTTAGGGCAGTGTCATCTTGATATATCCAATCATCAGCCATTAAAATTGCAAGTGGATACCTTTTATCCAAATAACCCAAAGTATACATGACAGTATATTTTGGACTGGGAGAGTTGAAAACCATAAGATCATGTAGCTATTTGTTCTACATGTATTAATAAGCCACAAGTCCCCAGTCAATCTTCCCATACAAAGAAAACAGTAAAGGAGAAGGATTTACTGAGACAGTATGATGAAAATTTGAAATTAATTGAGGCTAATATAGTTGATAGAAGATAAGTAAATAGCCAAAAAAAGAAGAGAAACATAAGATGATTGGTGAATAAGCCAACAACTAAATCCAATCAAACAAAATGCTTTGTATAACAAACAGAATATCTGAGTAAGAAACTACACTTATCAGGTTATAGAGCAAGCATGTGCATTTCACTTTCCAATGCAGACCTTTAAATCTTGAAATCATCTAAGATGTCTTTCACTTCACGTTAAGTTTGTTTCATGTTTTTTCAAATTATTCTACTCGAAACATCTTGCCACCATCGTCTAATTTGCTATATCCAATCAAATTTCTATCCTTTTCTCAAATACATCCATTTGCATAAGCCAAGCATAAGGAGAGGAAATACAGAGCACAAGAAAGGGATCCAAAGGACATGACATTAAACAGAATTTGACTACCAAAGAATTACAGATACCTGAATCGCCTGAGGACTGGCATAAGTTCTTGGATATTTCAAATGATTTGCACCAACAAGGCAAAGTCTAGCACTCTCTGAATACGACTCAATGTTAGATTCAGCAACCAAGTAACAGATATGAGCTGCTGTCACCTACATGGCAAGAAATTGTTGCAGGAATGTCAAAGGCATACTCTATTAAATGGAGGATACCTATCAATTTGATTCAAAACTTTTCAATTAACAAGATCCCACTTTAAGAAGAAAGGATCTTTCATATGCAATTTGTCATCCCATGGCCCATAGAGTTCACAAAGCAGAACCTAGTTCAACTATTCACCCATTGCAGATCATACAAGCATTAATATAGGGGTCTACAAAATGAAAAGGAAATATGTGTTTTGCACCATACCTCATCCTTCTCTCTCCAGAGGCAATCCCCAAGGTGAGTGATTACAAGCTCATCACCTTTTGTCCTGTTAGCACTTATCATGGCCAGATTCTCTTTCCAATCATCTAGCATACCACCAGGCCCAACCTGTAGTAGCAAAAAAGATTAGGGGGCAGATAAAAATAGTAAGACCAGGTACACAAAATTCTAATTTCAAACAAAGGAAACAATCTGCATGATTCCTCAACAAGGTTCTAAAGCACAAACTTGAAAGCAAAAGCCAACCAATACCAGTAGCTACTGTCTTTAAATTTAAAATAGGCATATTACCCCTGATAAGTTAGCATTAACTCCATTTTGTGCGCTGCTTGGAATGGAAGTGGAAAATACTTCAGCAGGCTGTCCAGCAATTAAGAGACACAAAGTCCTCAGAGGAGATCCAGCTACCAACTGGTGAAGAGCCATTTGCTTCACGGTTTCACCATAAAACTGCAATTGTTCGATTAATACAAAAGTCAGGTGTAATAATCATTCATCTGAAATGTGAACAAATTTAATCCATTCATTCACAGAATGTGATGGAAGCAAGAAGTTGCATCATTAAAAACCTGTTCACCAAGCAAAGTGGCAATAACAATAGCTGGTCCCCACAAATGACCATTCTGTGCACATTGAAGAGCCTCCATCTTTCTACCAGATACAAGAAGCATTTGCACTTCTTCAGTCGTTGCCTGAAGCAAAGCAAATTAGCTAAAAACCACATTGACAATCACAACACAAGAACGCATGACCAAAAAATAAGATGATATACCTTCATCTGTCCCTCGGAAGGCATGTTCTGCAAGCACTGGGAGATGGCAGGGAACTGTGCACTATTTCTCTTTGCAGATGAAAAAAGCTTTGCCAATTCTGTCTCTGGGGAATCATTTTCCTAGTCAAAGAAAACTTATAACTCAGCACTAATATAAACTCAAACTTGGATACCTTAATAAATGAAACTCCAATGACTTGAACTGCCAATTAACACCTGACATGAATTTAGACACTAATATTCACGTACTAACAGCAACAAAGTTTGTGTTATGCCAAAAGTTCATGAGTGATTATCTAAATAGAAGCTGCAAACAAGAGCTCATAAGCACAGGCTTACACTAAAACTTATTCCACACAAGAATGAAATAAATCCACACTAACTAATTCCCAAATCAATAAGTGATAATTTCAGGGTTAGGTGTTTTTTATAACACCGCATCCAAACTAATAAATTCTCATTCCAAAAAAGGGAAAGTCCAAAAAAATATGTGGAGTCTGGAGACTTTCTTGTAATATGAATCCTGCTTCACCGCCAAATCTAGACCATCCACACCAAAGACTTCAAAATACATAATTTTCTTGCTAGGTACAGAGGAAAGCAGACCACCAAATACAAAGATCCTTGTTCACACATGCTGGAAATTTAATTTTCAAGAACAGAATAAAGTTACTGATTAACATATAATAACTAAACAATGCTACCTTCACATTATGGTCAGTCCCAAAAGCTGACCGTAGCCTCCCATAATATTGACACGCTATTTTCAACAAAGAGAGAAGCATTTTTATAGCTGCACCATCCCTGTAGTCTGCATCTGGGGTGTTACCACTTGCAATTCTGTCATCAATCCATTTATTCAGCTCTTTGCTTCCAACATTGCCTGAAACCAGTGGGCCTGAAAACGATTGCTGGCATAGAGTATGAAAATATTCACAACCAATTCCAACATCTGAACCATCATTCTTCGGCATGGCTACTTCCATCACATTCAGAACACTGATGACACCTCCTGCTGAGTCCTTCAAATCAAATAGAAAAAACCTTGAGAGAATTATCATTTCCTTTATAACCTAGTGACGCGGTAAAACCGTAAAATCAATAACTGATTTGAGGTATCCATATAAAACAAACCTTACCTGACTTGCATATGCTGGTTGTGTAAATAAACTACTCTGATCCTTCATGACTATAAGTTTTCCGCCAAATCCAAAAGAGACCAGGGCATGTGGAGGTCGTCCATCTGGTGACCTCCCCTCACTGGAAGGATAGGATAATTTGCCATTTTGAAGTGGCTGCTGAGTAAAATTGAGGATATTTGGACCATTAAAGCCAGTAGCAGAGAACTGTTGATCAGATGCATTAAAATGATTATTGTATGGCTGAGAGTTTCCAGCAGAAACAAAGTTTGGGAAACCAGTTTCACCAATTCCAACATCTTGAGATCTGTTAACCTCATTACTGTTATCAAAAAACTGTCTTGATTGTTCATTTAGTAAGGATTTTTCATACGGAGCAGCACCTACTCTATGGTCTGTTGGGTAATTAGCAACACCATTCGATATAAATCCATTTCCATATTGTGTGTTTCCAGTAGAACTGAAGGCCTCACTATTAACAGGTTGCATCATATTCAAAGTGTCCTTCCCAGAATCACTCCAATGCACTGGCTGCTTTAATTGGTAAGGATTGTTATGGACTTGTTCACCCTGACTATAGGTTATATTTTGTTCAGGGTAGTAATTAACTGTACTAGCACTCCCATAAGACATTTGTCGGTTTTGATCCAATATATTTGACTGGTTGGTCGATGAAATATAAGACTCTAGTGATCTCCATTCTAGTGCAATTGTATCATAATACCAACCAGGATATTGTGGATTAAAAATCATGTGTGCAGGATACTCAATGTTTCCAAAAGCAGCCGGATCCCAACAAGCAGAGGTGCCTGCTGTACTTTCCTCGGGCATACTCCCAGATACAACACGAGCTGTCTGCTGAGGAGAATAAACATCAGATATCAGATTGGCAGCAGCCCCCTCATATGTAGACAGACCATTGGCACCAGAAGCATCAACCTGGAACCACTGTCCAGAATTCGGATCATATTTCCAACCTGGATATAGGCTCTCCCAATATTGAACACTATATTGGTCTGGCATCCCTTGTTCACTTTCTGCATACAAAGCATGCGACGTAGCTTCTCCATTTTGCACAAGACTATATGAATCTGAAGAAGTAGCTTGATTAGATGACACACCATCCAAAGTGCCTGGTGAAATCATAGACGGAGCAAGTTGCATATCAACTCCATTATGCCCAAAACTATGTGCACTAGGACTAGTAGCTTGAATAGACGAAACACTGTCCAAAGAACCTGATGTAACCATAGACGAAGCATGCTGTGTATCTTCTCCATTATGCACAAGACTATATGAAGTTGAACAGGTAGCTTGATTAGATGAAACACTGTCCAAACTCCCTGATGCAACCATTAAACCATCGGTCACTTCACTAAAAGGATCCTCTGAACCATCTCCTATTTGATCAAAGAAATCCGCATATGAAACCTGATGTGTAACATCACTAAGTGCACTCCATTGCACTTCTTTAACCCCCACACCGGCATTTGCACCCTTCCCACAAACCCTCGAATCAGATTCACTATCTCCCCCGACAACAAGGTCACTAGACTCTCGATCCACTGCTTCAAAAACTCCAGTGACACCACCATCACCACCCTCGACACAAAACTCTTCCACCTTTCCATCACCATCCCCACCCTTTTCACTACAATCTCCTTCAACACTACCTACATTATCTAAGCTATCTACGGTGGTGCCAGTGGCAGGGGCAGCACTGACTTCATCAATACTCAATTTCGCAAACGCTTGCTCATCATTACTCCCTACATTATTCAAAGACCTAGGTTCAAATCCACCGTCATCAACCTCATCATCCACCAACTTATCAAAAAAATCCTCATCCGTCTGATCCTCCATTGTAAATGGAGGTGACGCCATCAATCAAATCCTTATTAAAACAAAAACAAACCCTAAAATCAATCCCAAATCACTTAATTTACGCTCAATTTCTATCACAAACTCCTCAAATAAATTATCCCCAATTACACCACGAAATCAATCCACATTGATCAAACTCTTCAAACAAATCATCTGAAACACATAACAGTCACAAAATCAATCCAAAAATCCAACAATTAAACATAAAACAAGATCTAAAAAATCCAAAAAAAAATAAATTCGAATTCCGCAATCAATCAAACCGTAATTCGAAAAATTAAAACAATAACAATCAAAAAAATAAGATTCACATTATACAGAATAACAAAATAAGTAAGCATACCCGATTAAATTCGAAGATCTGGAGATCGATCGAAGAAGAAAGAGAAAGAGAGAGGGTAGAGAGAGAAAGACGAAGAAGAGACAAAGAATAGATGAATTAGGCAACAGCCGACAGATCACCGCAACCCATCAACCCAGTAGCCACCACGTAGGAGGTCATTTAATTATTTCATTTTTTGGTGGCAAATTTTGTGATTAACGATAATACTTTCCTTTTTTTCATAGTAATAATTTTTTTTTGGTTTATAATTGGATTATTGCTCTTTATGGAATTTATTATCGACGTCATCCGTCCAATGATATGCTTTTGTTTCTGGATAAAAAGAACAATTTTACGTTAGCTAAGAAAAAAATTCCAAAAAATGTGAATAAAAAGAATTTGGTATTAGATATAGATAAACGTTAATCAAATCTAATACAAGTACTCCTTTTTTTAACTTATCTAAACTTATTTGGTATCTGAAATTATCTTATCTTGCCGTCTTCATATCTAAACAGGTAAAATGTTTCAACTTTTTGCATTGTCCATCTAATTCATTCAAATAATGTTTGTGATTTATACAAATGAATAAATTTGACTTTTTGAACTATTCATTTAATTTACTTTGACTAATATTTATGATTTTTACGTAATAATATTTATAGTTAAGAAATCATCAAAATATAAACACTAATAACACTTATTTACGCGTGTTTTTTGTCATGAATTCCTAATTCTATACAATTTCCAAGAGTATATTCAATGCTTATATATAGCCCTTAAAATAAATAGTTCATTATTAGTAAATTGTTACGGGTAATAGTTTTATTTATTGATCAATTAAAAATAACGTTTCATACATATAGAGGGAGTATCTTAAAGTAAATTAGGAATCCCTTATTAATCTCTTGTTTTGTTTTTTTCCATGAGGAAAACAGCCGAGATAATATTAAACCTTATAATATATTTGTGCTAATGTATTGGATATGTTTTTTTTTTTTTTTTTTTTGACATAAAAGGTGTATGATGAGAATTAATCTGAGGATCCTTTTGGGAGTGAAGCTCTAACTACCTTAGCTATCACTCACTCTCAATATATTCAAACAAAAGCAATGTTGGAAATTATATATATCATGGAAAGTTTTCTTTTCTAAAAATGCAAATATACAAAGATATAGGAGGATTGTGGACTTAGGGGTTAAAAGTTGGCAAAACAACATTCGTATTTACATATATATTTGGAAATTTTGTTTTTTACCACCTCACAGAAACACGAAAATTGCTTTTACCACCTCCAAAAAAAGGTTTTACTTTACCACCAGATAAATTTCCAAATATTTGGTATTACCACCACTTAACTGATTTCGTTTAGGAATCCGTTAAGTGGGCCCATAAAGCCACGTGTTGTGTTATTATTGGCCAAAAAATGAAAAAAAATAGAAAAAAATTAAAAAAAAATAAAGAAAAACCTAAAACTAACCTAAACCTCCTGACCCTTCGAACCATGACACTCCGAATCACCAATCCCCCGCCACCACCGCCCTCTCCCCAACCCAACAATTCCCTCCCCAAACCCACCACCGGCGTCGCACCACCAGCTCCAAGCCACCTGAACCCTCCCCCTCCCTTTCGCGCAACCCTGTCGTCTCTGAAAACAACAAAACCCAAAACCCTCAAAACGACCACGAATCTGGCCACAATGGCCAAAATCGACTGGTTTTGGGGCTTAGTGGCCTTAATCGGCCGATTTCGACCTTTTAAGGCCGGATTCGTGGCCGTTTAGGTGGGACGAGGGTTTTGTGTGTTGGTGGTTTTTGGGGGCGATATGGTTGCGGGAAAGGGAGGGGGAGGGTTCAGGTGGGTTGGGGCTGGTAGTGCGACGCGGGTGGTGGTTTCGGGGAGGGCTGTGGTGAGTTTGGGGGAAGGCGGCGGTGGCGCAGGGGTGGTGGCTGGGGTAGTTTTAGGTTTTTTTGTTTTGTTTTTTTTTTAATCTCTCTTTTTTTTTTGAACAAATAAAATGCTGACACGTATTACTGTTGGCTACACTTAATGGAATTTTCGGATGGAAATCGTTAAGTGGTGGTAAAACCTATCTTCGTGTTTTTTATGAGGTGGTAAAGTAAAACTTTTTTTTTTGGAGGTGGTAAAAGCCATTTTCGTGTTTTTGTGAGGTGGTAAAAAACAAAATTTCCTATATATTTTATCTATTTATTATCCAAAAGTAATTACAATACAAGCATTCATTTACATTATTTTATGCATTTCGTTATTCATTAACAGCCTCACGAGGCGGGGATGATTTAATGAAAATATAGGGATAAATGTTACTCCGTAATATTTTTTCTAAATGTAGGTGTTGCTTGGGTTTTTCAAATGTCTCTTCGTGCATATCACTCCACTTATGATAGCATGAGAATTTTATGATGATCGAAAATATTGTTTGGCATCAATGTGGTTTTCTGTTTTTTGGTTTTTTTGTTTTTCAAAATCCTATAATATATGTCATATAATGAATTATAAATTAGTCAAACCTGTTAAAATCATGATAAATTTAAAAACTGACAACTAAAAAGTGAAAACATCTTTTTCTTGTTTTATGTTTTTGATTTTTTTTTGAAAAATCTGAAAACAAAAAACCACGTCATACAACTGAAAGTTGCTCATTTTTTTTTTTCTTTGATTTATCTACTATAACAAAATACTTCATGGTAAGAGTATAATGTTGAAAATAATTGGAGAAAATTGTGTCAGGTAAATAGAAAAACAAAGAAGCGCTGAATTTGGGCCTAATATGGGAAACTAATCTCCAGCGGTTGGAAGTTGGGTAGTATATGGATAAGTAGATTGTCAGGATAACAAGACCGTTATGTCCAAAGCCCATCGAATATAATTCTCCTTACATACTCATATAGAGATTAAGGCTAGTAAAACACACAAGTAATGAGATTAGAGTAGACCCACCTAACCAACTAACTATAATCAAAAGGCAAAAAACAACTACGTAGTAATATAAATTGATAAATTGAAGGCTTTTCTAAACTTTTCATTGAACTAAAGAATATATTTTCATTAAATTTAAAGTATATGGTTTCCAACATGATAATTTCCAAGTTTTTACCTATTAAAGATATGAAGAAAAGAGAAAAGATACAGCCTCGAGGGCTAAAAAGTTTATGTACAAAGAGGTAAAAAAAAACAAGGTATTCTTAATAGTTAAGTTAAAAGTTCACTAATTACCCTTGGATGGCCTTTTTTTCGACTTACAATATTAGTGTTTTACTTTGTCAGCAAAAAAATAGGGGTGTATGGAGTGTTACTTTATCAACACCAAATAGACCACTTGTACTAGGTAATTGTCTTACATTTTTTTTTTCTTTCTAAAAGTTATCTTTGAAGAAATTAATTGAATTTCATGGATAAACATTTTTTTTTTGGTGTTTTTTTGGTAATAATCTAAATAATTATACGGATAACTATCAAATTCAACGCATCTATTTCAAAATTAATCTAACTCAGCCTCCTCCTCCGCTAGCCTAGCCGACTCGGCCCAAAATTGAGCAGATTTTATCGAGCTTTTACAGCAATTTTCAATCCGAACTTGGGCCGCCCTGAGCAATCGGACTTTAATTTCCTTGACCTAGCCCGAAGATGGCTCGGCCTGCCATCCCTAAATTGATCACCTCTAATTGTTCATAATGCAAGATCTAAACTAGATAGTGTAAAACGAAGAATGTCAAAAGAACATTAAATCAGCCCAAAAGATGGAGTAGAACATTCATGCTTGGCCATTTAAATCAATCAATAAAGTGGGAATTAAAAAGGAAGATCGATCATAGACATTTGACTCATTCCCCATTTATTGACTAATATTTCAGTGCCATGTCTTGCCAAAGTCAACAACCCGGCAAAAACTTTTTAAAAGAGTTGTCACATTTTGTTGGTTGATTTAAATCTCCTTTTTTATAAATAGGGTCCACAAAATTTATTTAAAATTTTAAGCTGGACCAACTTAGTAATACTATAGATCTACGGTATAAAATTTTGGCGAAAGCTGAGAAACGCCACTAAAACGTTAAATAAAATAATTAAAAGTAGAAGTATATTACTGTAACTTGAAATAAATATTAATTACATTAATTGATGCGTGATTTTGACATGTAATTTCAAATTAATACCATTTTAGAATATATTTTAAAGGGTTATCCAACGCCTCAAAGACATTCATTAGCAAAATCATAATAATTGTATGTATATGAGCTTGTAAAAGACGCACTTATTGGAGTTATTTCCCATGACGACTTTACATGAAGAATATCATCTACTCTATTATTCCTTTCTTCAATATAAATATAACCCTTATTATTTACTTTTTGCATTGAGCTTGTAATATTGCTTAATGTACGATGAGATAAAGACCAACCCACCGACTAGTTTGAGACACCAATCAATTAAGCTAACAACTACTAGTAAGTAGCTAGTAAAGCAATTATGCTAAGCCTTCATATTTGGCTTCCCTTTCTAAATGGGTTAGCAAGTCATTAGTGTTTGGACCAAACTTATTTATGTTCTATCCCATGCCGACTTGTATTGTTATTAAAGATTTGACTATTGGTTATTGCAATATTGCGTAAGTGGTACAAAGTATAACCTAGTTATATATATAACAAAATATATATATATATATATATATATATATATATATATATATATATATATATATATATATATATATATATATATATATATATATATCACTTCTTAAGTTATTATAGATATGTATGTGTAAAGGTTTTGAGTAGTGTAATGTAAGTTAATAACTAGTGAGTATATATTATTGTGAAATTTAAAATGATAAGCAATAACGCAAAATTAGAACTTTAGATTATTGTGAATCTGCGATCAATTATCAGTATATATTGACAATATTAGGACTACGTACTGTTTTTTGACAAATGAGGCATAAAGACATTACAATTTATAAATAGAGGAAGAGGATTCAAACTATCAACTTATGTTGTAATTAGAAGGGAATTTTTTCAATAAGTATTTTTCATCTAAAACTTAATCTTCAAATCTCCTTTAATTCAGTGATTTTTTTTTTTTGTAATTAAAGGATTAACCGATTAATCAATTATATCACTCTTACTAATGAGCTAGTAAATTAAATCTGGCCTCCATAGTCCATTCTACTCAAAATTTACGTTGCCCTAATTGCGGTATTGGTCAACTCAAGGAATGGACCATGGATTGACTAACAAGTAGCTTTATTAGGTTGAATTTATTCTTGTTCGTCCGTATATTTCCGTGAACTTTCTTTATAATTGATGATCATGGTTCAAGCATATTAATACCGTACTTAATAATGAAAGTTATGTTTTTCGTAAAAAAAAAAAATGAAAGTTATGTTTTACTTTGTTTTTATTTTATTTTATTGTAATTGTATTTTTTTTTTTGGTGAAAATTTTATTGTAATTGTATTAAAACATGAATTACTAACAAACCCTTGTATTCCGTACTCCCTTCTCCACGAAAAACCCTCATTGCTGAGAAATGAGAATGATTAAATGAAAAAGTGTGTTTTATACTCCAAACTTATTCAGAAATGTACAAGAAGTCAAGAATAGATGCATACAAAAGAAAGTACTGGTACTAAACTACTTATTATGCAAGAAAATTTTATAAATTCTGCAACGATCGATTTAAATGTGAGATTGCGGCCATTATTAGTGCGATCATTTTAATTGGTCTATGTTGAACTTATCTATAGTATACGGAAATCATTGTATATATTTTTTTTTGGTAGGTAAGATGAAGAGCCCTTTCGGGCCAAAACCCCTCATATCTCTTATGGGTCAACCCGACCTAGATTATCGTGCTAGACCATTTGGGAGAGTGGGGGAAGGTACGAGAATCCTATCCCCTAAATTGTCACTAGTGAGGATTAAACCTCCAACCTCATGGTTGAAAGGTGTTCTCCTTTTCACTAGACCAAACTTAGTTCGATACACGAACACTATTGTTATGTATTGAATACGCACATAGTACTTATCCCGTATCCTTTTATAAGGCATGTTAACTACTCATATTAAGTGGTACTCGTATTATTTAGTAAGTTTTAGTTAAAAACGCATTTACGTGGAGTTAGTTTTAATAGAATAATGGATTAACGGTTAGTTTAAATATAAACTTCTATATTAAAACAAAATTTTAGATATACTCGCTTGAAAAAAAAGAGTAATTAAATCAGATAACAATCCTAAGGCACGAATTGAATAGTTAATTCGTTTGGCATCGTTGTGGTTTTATGTTTTTTTGGTTTTTGGTTTTTTAAAAGTATACAATATATGTCACATAATGAATCAAAAATTATTTAGAATTATTAAAATCGTGATAATTTTGAAAACTGACAACAGAAAAGTGGAAACACCTTTTCTTGTTTCCTGTTTTTGGTTTTTAGTTTTCAAAAAAAAAAAAAACAGAAAATTGAAAACCAAAAATGATGTCAAACAAGCCCTAAACAATGCATAACTTAAATATTGTTTTTATATAGAAGGGGACTACGAGACCGATGATATAGCATATATATAAACAAGTGGGTATAATTCATGAATAATTATTATTCTTCTGATCCCCTAAACATATAAAGCTTATTGAAGAAAAAGGGATACCCATTGGCCATTTCCATATATTGATCCTTAAAAAAAAATGAGGCAAGCATCCATTATTCATTTTAAAGCCACTAAAGTTCATACTTCTTGCAAACTTATTAAGGGAAAGCAAAAGATTTATCAACATGTCATTCTCGATTGGGTTTCTATTCTCTAGCTAGCTCTAACTTATTTACTTTAAAAAAAAAGTCCTTAAAAATAAAACTACATACTAATTGGCGCACTAGTGCTCCATTTTAATTATCTTTTTACCTTATAGTGTTTAAGGTTGAGCTCAAAAAAATGACGTGGAGGTGTGGAGCAGCTGAGTAAGGGAGGACATTAACTATTCAAGGCTAAAATGTTTTCTCTACCCCACTAACAATGCGTGTTTGATGGCCAATATAGTTACTTCGTGTACATATATAGCACCCCTTTAACAATAGTGCAATAATACCGATTTTTGATTGTATAGAGAGTCACAAAGAGTTTAATATGTACTAATGTACTCGTATGATCTTATAAGTTGAGGCTTGACAGTTGACACCTATCGGCATAAATTTACAATACACAGTGTAATTTTAATATAAAAAAATGAGAAAATATATTTGAAGATATTAACAGAATCCAAGCAATAGATGGGTAACTTTAGGCATGCACCAAATCAAAGGGGCTGAAAAAGCAACATAAACAGGGGTATAGGCAAAGCTTTTGGGTGCATCATGCAATATGCATGGCCCCAAAGGATAGACAACAGAACAATTTAATCAATGGAATAATACCTTTACTTATAAGGGGTGGTGGAATCCCCACCCTATTTATAATTTTATTTTATTAATATTATTCATAAATTTATATGTTTTATTTTTTTTTATTTTTTTCAAAAAAAAGTGCTACTAATATATATAATGGCCTGCATTACAGAAAAAATGTGCTGAAAAATGGAGACAAATGAAAGCAGTAAACTGGTTGCAAGCATTGATTATAAATGAGTGAGTGTGAACCTGGGTTTCTCCATGCTTTTCTACAGTTCTATTGTTGGACTCATTACCAAACAAACCTCATACCTACCAAATTTAGTAGTCCTACTTCAACTCCAACCCCTTTTTTTTAAAAAAAACTTATCATAAAACATATTCCAAGAAAATTTAGGTTTGAATTTTAAAATCGACAAAATTTATTTTTAACGAGTATTGAAAACATTAGTAAATTAATAATTCTGGATCAGTGATTATTAACTTTTTACTCTGAATCATGCACAAATCATCAGTTTTCACTAGACTAGTAAATCAAAAATCATTTTTTTAAAAACTAATTAATAGAAACGAGTTGAAGAGAGTACGTATGATCAACCTAAACGCGGACCAATAATTGATAACCTAGGTCATTTTGGTGAAGTACTAGGTAAGCTAAGACATCTACACATGTTTTATGTTATAATGCGTGTGAGGTTATACCATACGGAGTAGTACAAATTAAGCAAATCAAAAACTTAAAAATGAGTACATTATTATTAGTACATATGCTGCATTATCTTTAATGACTTTTTGTTACACTATGATGAGTAGTAGTAGTAGTACAAAACTACAAATACTGAATAAATAATTTGTGGAAAAGTTGTATTATTAAATATAAGGTAACAGTAATTGGAAAAAAGAAACAGAACTATAGTATATGTACATGTCAATATGTCATTAAAAAACCAAGAAAATAACACATTGCTGATCGTCCTACTGCTTGACCCAACTCGGCCAACTGTATGATACAACTTCGACAGGTGGAACTTACTATTTTTATTCCCCTAAAAATACAAGGTTCTTATTTATTCAACTTTTTTCGGACTCACCTTTTCCTTCCCTTTTATTTTATTTTATTTTTTTTTTTTTTAATTTTTTTTACCTTTTAAAAAAAATTTGGAGTATAATCTCAACTTCCCCCCACCCCCAAAAAAAAAAAAAAAAAAAAAGTAGTTGGAATAAACTAATTGGAGAGGCAGTTAGCTAAAACAGCTGGAAACTAGGAACAGTCCTTCTTCAACTTCATTAAGCTTAAACAAATCTCAACTATACTAATAAAATTACTTAAAGCCAAACTTAATTAGCAAATGAAACTGAACTACATACCACTACTAATGTAGTAACTTAACTAATTAATATGATTCGATTTTCGAAAATTTAACCCTACCTGGCTAGATAAATATGTTTTTCACGATTACATTAATAGTAATGAGACAGTCGTATCAATAACATCAATAGTACTAGTAATAGTAGTAGTAATTGATAATTACAGACAAAAGATCAAACAAATTTGTTGCAACCCTTCAAAAAAAAAAAATATGACTAAGTCATATGATAAACTCAACTACTAGCAAAACAATGCTAATTAAAGTTGATCAATACTAATCTTTTTGTTTAAAAATAAAAATAAAAATTACCTTTTGACTTTTAAAAATTTTGTTGATCAGAAATGAACATCAGAAACAGCTGAATCATCTTCATCTTCATCTTCAACAGATGCAGGAAGATTAAGATCAATCAAACTATCACGAGTAATAATCTTGGTTATCTTACTATTATCAAGTAAGTTGTTGTTATGATCAACCCCATTATTCGAAACTATAACATGAGATCTTTTGTGACCACCAAGAGCTTGTCCAGAAGCAAAAACTCTTAGACAAATTGGACATTCATGAACCTTCTTTATCATCGAATCCAATCCATCATCCACTCGATTTTCGTCTTCGTTAGTGTAATCAGCACTTTGCTCAGATTCATTAACTCGAAGTTTCTTATGACTCGCTCTGTGACCCCCTAATGCTTGGTACGATCTAAAACCTTTGTTACATGTATCACACTTATATTTCATCTTCTTGTTATTATTGCTGTTCTTCATCGTTGTTGTTGTTGTTGCAGTAGTACGCTTACCAACTGAGCTATTCCACTTGTCACGAGACATCATCATGAGACAGAAGGCTAAGTCTTCATCGGAAGTTACTTCCGTGATCGAGCTACCTGGTGGGTCCGCCTCAACATCAACCGCACTCGAACCACTCGATTTATTCCTACCACCTTGAACATAATGTTGTTGTTGTTGTTGATGATGATGATGAAAGTAGTGATAATCAAACGAAGTTGAAGAAGCCGGTTTCTGAAGAATCCGCTTTGATCTTCGCTTTCGAGTAGGATGATTCTTCTTCATAAACGACTCCGTCTCACTTTCTCTATCTTGTAAAGTAACAAGTGACGATGATCCAGTTGGCTCAACGACTATAAATTCATCATCACCACGAGTTGCAAATTCAACCTCGTCTTCGTGTTCTGAATCACTTGATGATAAAAAGTGTGACACAGACGATGGTGGTGGAGATTCAGTCTCCGACACGGTTTCGCAACTAGGTGGTGGTGGTGGTGGTGAGTCGGGTTTCGAAGCGATACCATGATTAAGCATGTGAAACTTCATGTGCCCTCCTAAAGCTCTCCCATTTGCAAACTTCTTTAAACAAAGTTTACATCTATGTCTCTCCATTTTTTGTTCCTCTTGTTTAGAAACAGAGTAATCAAGCTAAAAACAGAGTAAGGAAGAAAAAAAAAAAAAAAACAGGGGAAATTGAATTTGAAATAGTATATAAATTAAGCTAAAAGCTTATACATTTGAGTACTTTATTTATTTTTGAGAATTTTGTAAGAGTAAGGGGTGAACTTTGCGTGAGGTGTGTTTTTTTGCACAAAAGTTAATGTGAGAGAGAAGAAGGTGGAGATTGGAAGCTTATATGAGTAGGTGACAAGCATTCCTCCACCAAGCTCATTTATACCTTTTTTTTTCTTTTTCTTTTTTAGAATTTTTTTTTTTTTTTTGGTGGGATCTTCTTTTAAGTGAGGAGAAACGGCAAACGTAATTTATGAGGACTTAATTACGCGTTTATGTGCATGAAATCATAAAAGAACAAACATATAACATGTTTATTTTCAAAGCATTTTTATTTTTATGCAATTATGCCCGTTTCTCTACTTGTGTGTTCTTGATTGATATGTTTGATTGTTTTTAATTATTTCCATTCCTTGTATTTCTTCTAATTTAAGTATCAATATTATCTTGTATTTAAGGGAATAAGCACGATGTGATATGGAATTACCATGATATTTGAGATTACGATTAATGATATTTGATTTGGAGCTAATTACATATTTACATTATAATAGAAGTATCGTAAAGGATTAATATCTCGTGTTTTATAATCAGCTAGAATCATATGTATCTTAAATGATTTTTTTATTTTATTTTTTTCTAGAAAGGAGATAGAGTATCCCTATGATTTTATGATCAATAGTGCTTCACAAAGAATAATTCATTTTGCTTTGTACTTGATGTTTTTATTATGTGTCTGTGGGCGTATAACAATAATGTCCAGATTCTACATTAATACGATTATTCTAGCAATAAATAAGATTTTTTTTTATACAATAAATATTTACTCTTATTTGAACTTTTAAAAGTTCATTTTATAGTTATTTTGAAGGATTTTTTTTATATTTTTTAAATTCATAAAACTTACATGTGCCCTTTAGCTCATTATAGACAAGCTAAATATTGGTGGTATTCTTATTGTCCCATTATAATTATTATTGTAACTTACATGTGATACAATATCCTAATTTATAATCATGATTTGTTACTTTTAATAGATTCATCTTCAACTGATGTTTGACTAGCCACCCACAGTCCCACACTCAGTGCAAATGTTCATTAATTTGTGTTATATAGTATGCTTGTTTTGCATCCCTTAATATGTATAATTGTATATTAAGTTAGAAACTACTACATGGAATAGTTACTTTGTGTTAAAGAGACTATTCAAAGCTTTATTAGGTTGTGAAGTTTCAATTTGACTAAGTATAATTAACGTTAATTAATGTATTTAATTGTATTCACCAAAGAGTTACTAGAAGTTAATATATACTTAATTATATACAAGTATTAAACTATTTTGGCCTTACTTTATTTTGTCAAAAGATGTAATCAGCTTCATGTAACCTTGTAGCAATGCTCCACAACAAGACGAAAAGAAGAAATGGGTGTACCTTAACATACACTAAAGTTCACGGGGCTATGACCTAATAATAGTTGCAACAACTCAAATATATATCCACATGTCAAAGCCCACTTTGTTGGTTTTTAATCAATTCATGATGTAATTCATGATCAACTCAACACTAGCTAAAATTAAGTTGGATTCCTAAGTTCACACTTGATGATCCTAAAAATAACACTAAACACGTTTTATTACTTTGTCACGATAACACTATATGTCTATCGCCAACTGTAGGATGCTTATAGTCATAATAATTCTGTATTTACTATCTTTGCCTGTTTAAAATTAGCGAACAATACTTAATACTTCGTGTTTGGGTCCAATTTAGTCCAATTGGGCCTAGGCATTAAATGATCCAATTAAAAGCCCAAGGTCAAGGTTCAACTCTCCAATTGTGCTAAAGTCAAAGGTCAGCCCACAAAGCAAGCCAATTGGGCTAAGGCCCAACCTCTCCATGTATGATGAGGTATAAAAGCCATCAATATTGATACATCTCATATGTTCATTCATATGTTCATTCATTCATATGTTCATTGATATATTCTGATATATTCCATCAAAGCCTCAAGCAACAAACTCTCTTGCATAGTGTCCTCTTCTTACACATTGTACTGACTTTAGCATCGGAGGGGCCTTCCTCGGCAACACCCCCGAGGCTAGTTTACGTGTGTTTACTGTGCAGGAAACCTTCGGCCCAACATAACTTGGACCGAATCCAGCCTTCTCCGTTTCAGCGGACCTTCGGCAAGGTCCCATTGTTTTCACCCGAAACAATTTGGCGCCGTCTGTGGGGAAGACTTTCAAAAATCTTTAAGCCAAATTCCTAACCAAGATCATCTTGCAATTATCTTAACAGCAATGGCTAAGAACCGCAAGAGCAAAAGCCTCCGTCAAGGAGCGGGCGAAAATCCTAAAACCCCTACACCATCACCCTCGCCGGACCGGAACTCTCCCAAGGGTGCCGGCTCGGGGGGAGGATCATACAAGGAGGATTCCCTATCTCCCGTAATTCATGACTCTCATTATAGGCCGAGTTACTCTCGGTCTAGCAGGGGTGAGTCCGATCATAAGACACATTCAGTGTCCCAAAGCCAACCATCGGCTGCGCGCCCTCATTCCCACACTCGGCCGAGGACCCCTTTGACGGGGCCCAGCTCGGAAGAGGTGGCAAGAGCGCTGGCAGTACTCATGGAGGCGATGAGGGCACAAAATATGCCACCACCTCGTGATCGAACTCCTCCGCATACCCGGCATCAGCGGAGGAAGTTAGACCATGATGGTGGGAAGCTTCCTTCCTTCCGGGAACTGGAAGAGTGGGAGGAGGATTCCTGGAAAAATGAAAAACAGAGGAAAAAGAACCCTCAATTTTTAAAAGGATCCTCATCCTCAAGACCAGAAGCGCATAAGAGCAGCAACTCAGCTTCTCGGCCAGAATCTACTCACCGAGAACCTGAGACTGTTCGCAGAAGCGTCCTTGACCGACTCGACGGCAAGGAACCGAGCGTGCACAGTCGCCTCTCGTTCCCTGCAGCCGAGGCCCAGACTTCCCAGCCAGGGACGAAAACCACTCCTACCTCTCTAAGAGGGCGGAGCGCGGTCCCTTCGGCCAGGAACAAGGGCAAGGCCGTTATGCTACCCGCCAGTTCACCATTCGAGCAATGGATACTGGAAGAGCGCGTACCCACGGTTAAAATACCGTCGCACATCACATATGACGGGACCACGGATCCGAAGGATCACGTGGCCTCGTATGAGACTCATATGCATCTTTGCCCCAGATCCGAGGCGACTTGGTGCAAATATTTCCCAACCACTCTCAAGGGGGTCGCGCAAGCGTGGATCTCCAAGGGAGTAAGGCAAGGCTCCATAATAGGGTGGGATGATCTGTCCTCCAAGTTCAGGAGCAAGTTTTCCACGGCAAACCGCCGAGAGAAGACTACCGCAGAGCTCATGAGTCTGCAACAGGGGGAAACCGAAAGCCTCCGAGACTACCTGACCCCTTTCAGTAACGAGTCATCAAGCGTCTCCCAGCTGGACCAGGGGCTAGCCGTTTTCGCAATGCAGAATGGCCTTCAGCCCGGAAAGTTCCTAGACTTCATGGTCATGCATACCCCGCAGACCTTGGAGGAAGCTCTTAATGCTTCGGATAAGTACATCCGAGCCGAAGAATGGAACAAAGCGAAAACCCAACCTCAATTCGGGGGAGGGAAACAGAGACAAATACCCTTGTCTGAAGGCCAAGGCCATAAGGCAAAGGGAAAGTCAAAGGCCCCAGAGCAATCTTTGGCCATCGACCCAAAGAAGGAAATATCTGCCTCATACACAGGCAGATACGAGTCCTACACTCCGCTCTCTCTTCCACGCGCCAAAATTTACAGCGTGACGAAGGAGGAGCAGAGTTACCGAAAGCCGAGACCACTCCCAGAGTGGTATCAGCGAAAAAATAAAAATCAGTGGTGCGAGTTCCACGAGTCTTCGGGACACAACACTGAGGAGTGTATCCAACTGAAGGACCAGATAGAGGACATGGTCCGGAAGGGATACTTGAAAAAATACATCGCGGATCACCGTGAGAAAAAAGAATCCGAGAGGTCAGCAAAGGACCCTCGGCAGGACCTCGACTTCCCCCGGAAAAACAGTAAAAAGCCGGAGGGGAAATTCCTTCCGATCAATGTTATCTCGGGAGGAATATACTCTCGGAGGGAGCACAAGAGACACCTTAGAGCTTTGACTCACCAGGTGAACAACGCTGACATTCAATCTCCCCAGTCGCCGGTGCCGAACATGACGTTCACAGCCGCCGACTGCCGGGGGATTACGTTCCCTCACGAGGATCCGTTGGTGATCATCGCCACGGTGGCCAACCACGACGTCAGTAAGGTCCTTGTTGACGGTGGCAGTGGAGCAAACATTCTGTTCCGAAAGGCCTACAATCAAATTAAGCTGAAGCCCAAGCACCTTACGCCGGTACCCTACCCGGTATCCGGGTTCAATGGGGCTTCAACTTATCCAGATGGGAAGGTGACACTTCCTGTCACTATCGGTTGCGATGAGGCAGCCCGGAACGTCATGATTGAATTTTTTGTCATCGACGCTCCTTCAGTGTACAACGTGATTTTGGGGAGACCCATAATTCACGAGATCCAAGGGGTCGTCTCAACTTATCATCAGCTGATGATTTACGTCTCAGACGCCGGCTTCCCCGAAAGGATACAGGGCAACCAAAAGGACGCCCGAAGGTGCAACTACCTCAAGCCATCCAGTAGTCGCCCAAATGACGACAAGGATGAGGAGGAGAAAGAAAAAGAAAGAGAGCCAAGCACAAAAAAGCCAAAAGGCCTAAGTGCTTCGGCCCAAGGATCTGTGCCTAGAGAAAAAGGGCCCGAAAGGGAAAAGGCTAGCTCTTCAGCTGAGCCGCAAGACTCAGAGAGCCAGCCGAAGAACAAAAAGACTGGGACACCTGCTGACATTGGCAGCAGGCCAGATTCTGAAGAGTCCAGTCCATCGGCAATGGACATGGACCAACAGACTGAAACAGTTGAGTTGGCAGAAGGAGACGTTGAGAAATGTGTAACAATCGGGATGGACCTTGATCCGAACACCCGTTGTGAACTTATTCAGCTCCTTCGGGACAACAGAGATGTGTTTGCTTTCTCGGCAGCTGATATGCCCGGGATAAGTTCAGACCTCATCTCCCATAAGCTTAATGTTGACCCGACGTGTCGACCGGTTAAGCAAAAGAAGCGGAATTACTCCGC